ATAATTTTGGTTTAAAATTAGAACTGCTCAGTTTACACCAAATTTATGGAGTGCAAAAAGATAATGCCCATATACATATGTTATGTTTACATACATAGGCATTTATTTATTTAATCTTTACACTAAACATACGTATGAACCTACAGTTTACATTATATTAACCCAAATACCCACGTCAATAGTCGGTCGGTAATTTAACTTAATTTAATTAAGTTAACTCTGCATAATTTTGGTTTAAAATTAGAACTGCTCAGTTTACACCAAATTTATGGATGGCTTAAAAGATATTACCCATATACATATGTTTACATACATAGGCATTTATTTTTTCAATCTTCACGCTAAACATACGTATGAACCTACAGTTTACATTGTATTAACCTAAATACCCACGTAAAGACTCGGCCGGTAATTTTATCTCTTATATGTATAAAACACATACATATCGTCGTTTAAAGTACAAAACCGTGTATCAACAAAATGCAAAATCGCGTATCAAGATAATGCAAAACCGCGTATGTAAGGTTGCATAAATTATTTTCTAGAGCGTAAAAACACTCATATTTCAAAATGGTTTTCTTTTTTATAAAGCATTCGCATTTCTGGCTAGTATGTTTCAGGACGAATGGATAAGGATTGAGCCAAGAGCTTCTGTGAGCAAATCCAATTTTTGGCAGCAATGTCAGTTACGCGGTTTAGCAGAATGACGATACGCGATTACAAGATTTACAGAAATGATTGTTTTATCAATCTTGTGTATGTGTGTACATTCATATTGTAGAAAACATAGCTGCCATAACTACAATAATGGTTTCCTTGCATCTAGATAAGATATCTTATACATATTACGTATTCAACGTTTGCTAATAGAGATGATTGTGTTCGATAAAATAGTTCATGCGGTTAAATGTATTTACTGTAATCTGGTATTAGAAATGTCTTACTTAAAATGTATATGTAGAAACAAGTATAGAAGTCTGGGCGAAACCGAACTTCATATACCCCTCGCCCGCTTTCTTTCCAATAAGTAACCGCTAGAGCAACGACAACAAAACGCCAATACTAGGGGTGGAGGGTGATTTTGCCGTCCTTAACAGGGTTAGATCGCTTTAACACTTTAGGCACACAGATAACTCGGGGCCTTGACCGAAACCGCACCTGTGAGAGCTCAATTCTAGTAGCGTTGAACCCGTCCAAGGCATTTGACACCGTCAGTCACTCCACGCTACTAGAAGACATAGAGGCCGGTGGTCGGCGAATTATCTGAGTGGTCGACACTGGTCAGTAATCTTTAGAGACAAATCGAGCAAACCTAGGAAAATAAAACAGGGGGTTGTTGTTGTTGTTGTTGTAGCGGCTACAATAACCCCGCCCAGATCGGTTGGTACTAACGGCAGCCCCAAGAAGCGTGCAGCCTCTAAGGGGTCGGTCCACAGGGACAATGCCGTTAGGGGTGTAGGGTTTTCCGGGCATGCGAAGAGATGTTTCGAGTCGTCAGGGGTCTCTGCGCATGCCGGACATTCATTCGGCACATCCGCATTTAACCTACTCAGGCAAGAGTTCAGCCTGCTGCAGTAGCCAGAGCGAAATTGGGCTATTGTTGTTCTTGTCTCCCGAGGCAAATGGAGCTCCGTCGCGTCAATGTCCGGTGTTTGTGTGCCTAGAACGGCATTGACAGGTCTAGAGTACATAACTCGAGACTGAGTCCCTGTGAATGCCGTTCAGGGCCTGTCGGTATGCTGACGTGTCCAGAGGCTGCTTAATGAACCTCTGGACTTCGTCCGTGACGTGTCTAGGCGAGGGCTCCTCTGTAAGCAGCTGTCTGTTTGGGTGACCACGTCTGTGGCTCCCAGCAAGAAACTGATTGCAAAGCATCGTGTTGTGCTCCCTAATTGGGAGCATTTTCGCCTCGTCATGGAGGTGGTGTCCCACAGGGAGGTGTCCTTTCCCTACTACTGCTTAACATTTACATTTCACCGAAGTTTCATTTACACCGGAGTTTCGATTGTCTCTTATGCTGACGATTTTTCAATAATGGTGTCTGGGAATGGAATTGATGACTTCTGCTCATGGTGTAATAATAGGAGGCTATGCAACTGCCAGTAAGAATTAGCCAGTAACAAAATTTAGAGAATAAGGTACCTTACTCTCCCAAAGAGAGAAACTTACTAAGTTTTGCGCGAACAGGAATTAGCAAACATTAGCAAGCTTCACTGCCAGCGGGCATCCTAGGTTGCATTTCGAGCATAATAAATTAAGTTATTTCAGGTGGAAACCAAAACAAGACCTATACGTATATTTCTTCTTATTCTGACTTTCCTTATCATACGCTTCAATTTCTTTGCGGAAGTCTCGGTCGGATTTCCTATATCGACAGTGGTGTCGACTGCGTTACGTTTCAAATGTTTGGAATTAATTAAATAAACGAATATTTACATACTTCTTTCATTAGTAAATAGCAACAAGATTGTTCATTTTTAAATTTAACGAACTTTTTGATTCAAATTAATGTTGACAAAAATGCAACCGTGTGCCAAATTGCAAATTCTTACTGGCGAAAATTTTCCCAGCACGAATTTGCCACTTCCCCTCCAAATGAAATGTCAAAATTGTGCTCTCTCCTTGCAAGTTTTACTGGGTTTTTGGCAAAACGAACACGATTTGGGAACAATTGGTACCAACTTGTACAAATTTTTTGCATAACGAACACTCCTAATACAAGGTGTTGTCAGTAACTTAACCTCACTTTTTCGATACGCATATTCCGGCAACGCATTTTAAGGTAGTATAAAAAGGGGAAAAATTTTGGCCCGTTCTACTTCGTTATGCGTACTATTTTTACAATAATATGGAAGTTTAAAGTATTTTGGTACCTTTATTAATTTCGAGAACTAACTCAATGCTGAATTTTGGGGATTATTGTTTCTTATAAGGAAAAAATAAAATCGATTAGAAATTTCCGCGGGATGAGCAAGTTAAATAACAGCTTGTAAAAAGCAGTTCAGCCAAACGAAACAAACATGTTCAATCGTTTTGAGTAGTCTAATGAAAAGTAATATTTTATGATTAAGGGTTCTAAATGGTCTTGGTTACACACACCTCAGTTATTTGAGGATTTATTTAAATCCTTAATGCGGAAATGCATTCGGCATTTGAAAAAAAGTTTTTAACTCTTTCCGGCAATTGCGAGGTGGACGATGACCGCAACAATTTCTCCATAAAAGCTCTGATCCAATACTTTTCGTGAAAAATCCTGTAAAACTGTCAAACAGCAAAATTACTCTGAAGCAAGGTACATTGAACAGGTAGTATCAGTAGAGCAGCTGATTTGATTTATTTTCAAATTATTTGGTCTCGAAAATGTCAAATATTTTTAATTTTTTCTCACAAAAATTATGAATTGTTAAAATCCATTTGCATGTGAAACCTTTTTCAATACAAAACAAGCGATTGAATAGCAGCTTTTGGAACGTTCGCCCAACTCAGCAGCACGACCGCAGATTACTGGGCCTTGCAAAGGATGGATCAATGCTTCGAGAGGCAAACAAATTTACTAGGAAAGAAAGTTGCATCAATTTTTATTTTTTCCAATTTCAATTTTTTATTTTTTATAATTTTTTGTATTTCACATGGCACGCTTTGATTTAGAAGAAAAAATTCAGAACAGTTTTT